TCCATACCCCGACTACATTTCGGAAATAGGTCAAGGTGTCAGAAATGTGCTTAGAGCGTATGATGATCACGTAGTCCAGACTGCGCAATCGAAACTGCGAATCGCGCCGAAACCACCGCTGCCAGAAATTCGAACGTCAACTGTAGTAGTTTCATTGTATTCCTCGACAGTCCACAACGCTAATCAGGTGGGCATGGAAATAAACGTGCATAGGAACAAATCAGAGACTCTTAAAAGTCTTCGACTGTACCAAAGTAGGCTAACGATTGCTGGAAAGCGCTACTTGCGATCCCCTTGCCAGCCACCTAGTCTGAAATGAACGACGCAAATCCCAACTGCTACGGCAAGACCGGTGACCTCGACGGATTTCTCAAGTCCGTCGAATGGCCGCCCGCCGCAAGTGGGAGGCGTTGCAGCAAATCAGGTAAAGCGAACGAGCGCAGGGCTGCAAATTTGTTTCCATCTGTCGAAGCAAACACAACAGTTCAACCAACGGAACGGAAGTCCGATAAATCAGAACTTATGCTCATTTTGCTCTCATAAATCGCCGCGGTCTTTTCAGCTCACTGCGTTCCTAACCAGTTGCAGAATCTAACACGTACACGTTTCAGAAAATGGCAGGAAGACGTACAAGCTGTTGTCTTGATCAAGATTCCCTGCAAGCAATCGACTAGCTATTCGTTTGCAGTTCTGTCACAACGGATACACCAGAGCAATTAACTGATGAATGATGAAATTCACAGCGGATACAAAGAAATCGCGACTGCGTCAATTCCACAAAATCATGTCTTAGAAAATTGAACTGTACTGTTTTTCTGATGCTTCATATTCCATTAATCCGCATATCACTTCGCTCGATGAACAAGCAATCATAAAGAAGTGTGTCACTAAGGAAAACAAACGTAGTTTCCTGCTTGAATATAAGGAAAGTGATCACATCTTTCTGCGCAACATGAAACGTCACTGCTACTTAGTAGCGATCAACATGCAATATCACCTTCTCGGAGTAGTTTCACGATACTACCGTACTACCGTAAACAGCGAATTCTACATGATCCATTGATCACCAGCACTGAATTGAAGAAAGTCCGTGAGAAACGGATCTAAACACCGGTAGAGTCTACAAACAGACTGACTGTTTCGCACTGTGTATAATAAACAATTTTTATACTGTTTCAGCATGACTAACAGTAGACAAGCAAAAAATTATCCGCGGATACGAACTTGTCAATGCATTTTATCCACATTTCGAAAGAGAATAAAGCGTAGCAGATGAAAAAAAATACGTTCAGTAAGAGAAGAGAATCCGATTCAATTCTGTAACTGATAAACGCAAAACATAGATGACACTGATGACAAATGAAACCGAGTCCATTGGAAGAAATCAGGAAAAAATCTGTTAAATATCTACATCCAGACATGGGAAATGATTTTTAGCCATATACTTATCAATTAACACAGATAGAAACGTCAAATAGCTCTATTCCCTGTCCAATTAAACATTTTTCTCTTTTGTCATAGATGAACAATAATATTTTCTGAAAGTGTCTGTATAACCGGAAAACACCAAATTCATTTAATCCGGAGGATTCACAACCGGTTTTCGCCTTGCAAAATGGGATATGTTACAGGATACGGCAGATGTTGTTGCACTCATCACTGTCGTGTTCGTTTAATCGTGGTGTTGATGGTTACTTGCATTTGCTCAATCTGCTCAATGATGGTGCGCAAAAGCAAGGCACCGCCAAGTTCGCAGACGTACGGATCCAAGACGCTTCTTAGTACTAACAACAGAGGCGAGAGGTCGTAAAGTCATTCCTGCCAATGCCTCCAGTTGACCTCGACAATATTAGCGTCACACGAAGGTCACACGCACGTTGCACAGCAAACACGATAATCGTTTGTGTTTGCTCACTACGAGCAATAGCCAGTGTTCCCCTGACAATTTGAGCAGTCGTGACGATACTAGTGCTGTGCTGTCTTCGCAACAAATGAAGTTATGGCAACAACCATCAGTCATTGGACTAACATACTATAGCAATAATTATAATGCAATACCAACTTGTTCGAATCAGACAAAGCGCAATGCAGCACGGCGAAAACGAAGACGGTACCAAGTGAGCGACAGCATGGGAAGAATTCATGAGGTGTTATCGCAGGTGGCACTGCGCAGTTACCGTCTGAACGTGTTTACAGAAACAAGCTTCAGCACACACATCAACCTGTTCAGAACTTGAGACAAACAACGCATCGATGACCGAAATGGAAGCAGGAATGAGTAACGAGTGCGAACAATAAATAGTCATCAAAGCAAAGGGTGTCCATGACCGGCGACCTCATCTTTCTGGAGCTTCCGAAAACCAGCTCGGTCATGAGCCAGGGAATCGAGTTTTGTGCTTCACAACAGAGTTATTGCCCACTGGCAAGTGTGGCGCGAAAGCACAGTGCCTAAGTGGTTTGAATCCGTTCGAGAACAATCTTTGTTTTACATACGAATTGTCGTGAACAAAAAATTTACCACACAGTGCTTCGGAGCGGGCTCGCTAAGTCGGTTGAGCGTCGAACTCAGAACCGAAAGGTACCGAGTTCAAGTTCCGACCGGGGCCACTGGCCGTTTCTTCCTTCCGGGGTTCATAAATGAGCACCACTTTGTGCTAAGGAAACAGGAAACTACACGCCACGCTTGCCACATGGCTATGCCTTTAAAATAAGACACTCTTGGCTGATAGCACAGAAACGCAAATCGACATCGCATCATGAATTTCGTGAAAAGGAGTCCAATGTGCCAAAAAGGCCCAACCATGAAAGTGAAGAAGAACCGCCGACGTTCAGACGGTGACTGGCTTTCATTTTCTCCTACTCGCTTTACGACCTTTAAACCGAAGCACAGCAGAGTGAATGCGTTGTTCAACTGTACTAACAGTCAAAGAGAGAAAATTGTGCTGGGTTTGAACCAGACATTCTAGTGTGTAAAGGAACCTAGTAAACCACTACGCCGCTACCCAAATCTTTAAATGCCATCGCTTCAGCTTTTTCTTCAGTGTAACACGTCCAACAATCATTTCACTCCAACCTGTCACGCATAAGACGAAGAACTTATGGTTTATCGGTATAACCACGTCACTTATTTGCAATGCATGCTTTCGAAAATCGAACAAAAACTGGACGGCAACGCAAAATCGAGGGCACTTTCGAAATAAAAGATTCGAACGATATTCATTTTTGGAATG